CTACTACTACTAAAGTCCGTATTTCTCACCATGTAGTACTGTCAGCAGAGTCCGTGTTTCTCACCCCAATAGAGTTCTCAGCATCCAGACCTTTGTTAAAACATCAATAACTTTAATTTAAATCATCCTTCATTGTCCCATTAGTAGTTATATCCGCTGCCACAGACCCCAGACCCATCACCCTATCTCCCTTCAAGCCTATCTCTCTCTCTCCCTTGTTTATTTATCTCTGTCTCTCTCTCCATCTCCCTTTTATTTCTCCCTATCCCTCTCCTCAATCTCTCTCTCTACCTTGTTTATTTATCCCTTTCTCTGCTTTATATATTCCCCCTTCTCTCCCCCTGTTAATTCTCCCTTTCCCCCTATTCATTCCATTCACTTAACTGCTGCCATTAACTCCATCATACCACCCACTCATTCACTAACAGTCGTGTAGTTCACCCAGTTAGCTTGCAGTTAACACGTCATTCATCATCCAGTTACAACTTGTATGTGTTCCCAGTTACCGTACTCATCCCCTGCCCCATGGTGACATTACACTTACCTTTCAATTAATTAAGTTTGTTTGATATAAGAGAAAAACCTAATCTAACCTAACCTGACCTGACCTGGCCTAACCTAACCTGACCTGGCCTAACCTAACCTGACCTAGCCTAACCTAAGCCTGATCTAACCCGTCTTTTTTTCTAGACTACTAATAATACTAATACAAATAATAATAATATATAATTAATGCGTACAAAAGATTAATGATAATTATTTAGTTAACAGAAAGAACCAATTATGAGATGATCGAATCTCGCTCTCTCTCTGTCTCTCTCTCTTCTCTTTCTCATTCTCTCCCCCTCTGTTCCTCTCCTTCAGAGGCGTGGCACTCTAGCGGTCAGTAGTGCCAACCTGGACCATAAATAAAGGCCCGTGGCACTCCGGGTGGAGGGCGGGAGAGAAGGTTCACATTATTTGAGAGGAGGCAAGTGTGTGTGTGTGTGTGTGTGTGTGTGTGTGTGTGTGTGTGTGTGTGTGTGTGTGTGTGTGTGTGTGTGTGTGTGTGTGTTTTACCTCTCTCACTCCTACCTTCTCTCCCTTCTGGCCTCTCTCTGCATCTTTCTTATCTCTGTCCTTCTCTTTCACTCTCTCTTTCTATCTCCCCGTCTTTCTCACATCTACCTTTCTCTCTCCTTCCTTCTCTCTCACTCCTTTCTCTCTCACCCCCACTTCTTCCACTTTATCTTTCTCATTCTCTACCTCTCTCATTCACCTCCTCCTGTTCTATATCTGTCTGTATCCCTTTCTGACCTTTTTCTCTCCCTCTCTCTCCCTCTCTCCCTCTCCCTCTCCCTCTCTCTCCCTCTCTCCCTCCACAAGCAATACCAATGTGTGTTCACCTCGTTCAGGATAATAGCAGCAACAAGCAAGACCTTCAATAACTCACTCTTCTCCCTTGTTTACCCTGGTGTTAGTGGTCATAAGGGGAGGTGTATTATTGGACCCATTATGTGAACCCAAATTTCGAGAACGATTCAACATCCACACAAAAAGTTACTCGAGTCAATAATTTTTGTGAGTATTGATAGAGAAAATAATAATATACAAACAATAAACAATAAATGATAATAATAAATAAATAAATAAATAATAATAATAATAAGGACACGAATATTGAGGTAAGACTCAGTACAGATCCTTGACCTACATGTGACTGTAAGGTGAACCGTATCTAGGCCATCCTCCTCATGCTTATGTAATCAGGAATTAGTATTGTATTTCAGGTGTGTGTTGTGTAGCATGTGTGTGTGTGTGTGTGTGTGTGTGTGTGTGTGGTTAAGACATGCCAGATGGACGATGACCCATAACAAGTGTAACATAATCCTTAACAATATAGGCAGTGTTGACGGTGCCAGATATACAATGACCCTTCAACAGCGACAAATACCAGACGATCTCAGTAATGTTACACACACACACACACACACACACACACACACACACACACACACACACACACACACACACACACACACGTGACTCCCGGTAATATCAGAGGGCAGATGACCAACAACAATGTGCGATAGTCAATAACAGATAGTGAGGTGTTTGATGGCACCATGACAGTGCCAAGTGCAATACCTAACCTAACCTAACAGTGCCACATATACAATAACTAACACCATTGATGATGCTGAAAATAATGCCAATTGTAAGATGACCCCACAAAGGCCCTATGGACGAAAATGAGAAATGCCGAGAAAAATGCCGAGTGGAAGATAACTTCAACAATGCCCCCCCCATGTAATGATGCCTCCAAACACCGGGAATAGTGATAGTGGCTGCTGTACGATGACCCGCAGAACGAGGAAGGTGCGGAAGACATATTGGGTGGACCACCCACTGACAGGAATTGCGCTCAGGTTACCTGGCATATTTTATTACTTTCCCACAGCGGGTCTGTGTATGTGGAGAGAGGGGAGGTGGAGGAGAGGGGTGAGGGAGGAGAGGAGGTGGGGTGAGGAGAGGGGAGGTGAGGGTGAGGGAGGAGGGGGATGGTGGGGAGGGAGGGGGAGGTGGGGTGGAGGAGGGGGGAGGGGAGGAGAGGATGGGTGGGTGGGAGGAGAGGGTGAGGTGGGGAGGGAGAGGGGAGGTGGAGGAGGGATGGTGGGTGAGGAGAGGGGGAGGGGAGGAGAGGGGGAGGTGGAGGAGAGGAGGGTGGGTGAGGAGAGGTGGGAGGGGAGGGGAGAGGGGAGGTGGGAGGAGAGGATGGTGGGTGAGGAGAGGGGAGGTGGGAGGAGAGGTGGGGAGGTAAGGAGAGGGGGAGGGAGAGAGGGGAGGGGAGGGGAGAGGGTGAGGTGAGGGAGGGGGAGGTGAGGAGAGGAGAGGGGAGGTGAGGAGAGGGTGAGGTGAGGAGAGGATGGGTGGGTGAGGAGAGGATGGGTGGGTGAGGAGAGGGGGAGGTGAGGTGAGAATGGGTGGGTGAGGAGAGGATGGGAAAAAGAAAACAGGAATAGGGAAGAAAATAGGACACCCAGGAGCAAGATTTGGGTGAGGAAGAGAGGGAAAAGGGTAGGATGGGTAGGAAAAGGAGAGGGGGTGAGAGGGATGGCGTGGGAAGGAGATGGAGTGGGAGGGGACTAGACACGCCATCAGTATTGAAAAGTCTCAGTAAACACGAAATGATGAAAATTCCATGTGTTGTGGAGGGTGTAACATGTTAAGTAAGGGTTGTATGTGAGGATCATACACACACACATACACTGGACTATCTTGTATGATGAGGGAATAATTCATCAGAGTGTATAGATTGTGCATGAAGGTGTAAAACTGAACATTCCAATATAGTGAAGGTGAGATTGTAGTTATACTTAATTGACGTGTATATTCGTATGTTTGTATATCGCGACATGTCAGAGCACCGCCCTCCACCACCAGCGCGAGTCACACCTTCCTCACTACACTATCGCAACACCTCAACCGCCCTCGTCAACACCACCGCCAGCGCCTGTAAGCACCACTTCAGGAAGAGTAAAAATTTCTTGAGTGCTCTTATATACTTTTTTGACCTTCTCTGTGAGTACCGCTTGTAGCACTGTTAAAGTTCCCCGCGTGCCATTATTAGCGCCTTTAATCTCTTTCATAACTACCACTATCAGCGCTATTATGGCTTTTCCTCTAGTGCCATTTGCAACACAACCTCTTAGACGGGAGTGCCTTCGAGTTACGAATTTAGCCTTAGTGGCAAAGCAGCTCAGAAATGCTAGAAAAGGTCCTCGAAAATACAAGAATTAAATTCCCAATTCCCAAACGCCGGGCTCACTATATCCACCTGGCCGGGCTACCTTAGAAACACGTATCGTCCAGAATTGTTTGAAAATTCAGTAGAAATACAAGACTTAAATCCCGGAATTTCAATTGTTGGCTGCAGAAAAACATTGCAATTGACCCAGGAACTGCTACACCAATTCCCAGAAATGTTGTCATTGGCGTCCCACCGGCTGACTGAGTTTTAGTAAAAGTGGTTTTCTTTGTATACACAGAGGGGAACATTTGCTACAACTCTAATGCAAATTGTCTCTAAGTCTTGATACTGTGTGGTATTTCCCTGTGACATTTCTTCTGGGGCACAGAATAAACATACAAACTGTCTTATCTTTATTGCAGAATTATTCACTGCTGTCTGACACTGTGGATATTTATTTCCTGCCACGGAGTAACTCACGTGTCCATTGATTCGCTTTATATTCATTTATTTACGAGATAAACATGTGAGTTATCTGTTTATTTTGTCATTAGTTCCCTCAGAGTCACCATAATTTATTTTCGTTTTTATCAACTGAATAATCGTCAAGGTAAAGTATATACCTGTCTCAGTGGCTGGAAATATTTCTCAACTGTCTGACTGACTCGCTGATTGACGGACTGACTGACTGGATGGCTGGATGGTTGACTGATTGACTGGATGGCTGGATGGTTGACTGACTGACTGGATGGCTGGATGGTTGACTGACTGACTGGATGGCTGGATGGTTGACTGACTGACTGGATGGCTGGATGGTTGACTGACTGATTGACTTGCTTATTGACTGACTGACTAACTGATGGCCTCAGTGTATATACATATATATTTACCCGTCTAGTGAAGCCTGCCAGGTCTTTGACAGCGACATTATTGCCTCCTGTTTTGGTTACAAATTCCAACCATCATCAAAACTAATCATGGCGTCCATAACATGAGTGAACTTAATCATGTCGTTATTTTGATTATAAACAACAAGTATCAGTTGGTCATTTGTGTTGCTATATTACTACTCATCACCCAGCGTCGGTGTGACTGTCTGTCGTAAGACCCGCCCCCACCACCCACCCTCCGCCCCCGAACACAGCCAACAAGGAGTTCCTGGTCACCATTGTTCCCTCTAGCGAAATGAATCACTGGTCGCCGTCTTTCTTATCTCTCTAATAATATATCACTGAGAAGGCTAACGCGATGTTTTTTTCTTCTTTTACAGAATAAATCACTTGCTGTTCGGGCTACGTCCGCTCGGATTCCACCTGGTGAACGTGGCGCTACACTCCTGCGTCTGCTTACTGCTGACGCGGCTGCTGCTGCGCCTGTTGCACCTCCCCCAGGGCACCGTCCTCTACGCCGGGCTCATCTTCGCCACCCACCCCGTCCACACCGAGACGGTAAGTCACCCCACAAACTCCAGCAGTGACAGAGACTAAACTTATTATGCCTCAGTGACTGTAACTATAAGTTCAGCTTCTCTTAACAATATTTACTGAATCTTTGAAACAGATAATGATGACCTCATGACGACACTAGCTGAGGTCAAACCTTCGCTACCTATAAGGGTTGTTAGGTCGTGTCCGGGGCAACATTACTTTACAGATGAGGAAGTGAAGGTGATCGAGTGTAGTGCCAGCAAAAGTGTAGTGAAGGTGTAGTATACAATGTTCTGTATCTGCACTAAACCTAACGGACCACCAAGCCTTTGGAATCCACTTTCACTTGTGTAACAGCCATGTTGTTGTCCAGCGCTGTAACTACTGGGCACTGTACCCTGACACCATATAACCCAGGACAACACTATACTCCCCACACCCCAGGACAACACTATCCTCCCCACGCACCCCAGGACAACATTATCCTCCCCACACACCCTAGGACAACACTATCCTCCCCACACACCCCAGGATAACACTATCCTCCCCACACACCCCAGGACAACACTATCCTCCCCACACACCCCAGAACAACACTATCCCTCCCACACACCCCAGAGAACACTATCCTCCCACACACCCTCCCCAGACAACACTATCCTCCCCCACACACCCCAGGACAACACTATCCTCCCCACACACCCCAGGATAACACTATCCCCACACACCCCAGGACAACACTATCCTCCCCACACACCCCCAGAACAACACTATCCTCCCCACACACCCCAGAGAACACTATCTCCTCGACACACCCCAGGACAACACTATCTCCCCACACCCCAGACACTATCTCCCCACACACCCCAGGACAACACTATCCTCCCCACACACCCCAGGACAACACTATCCTCCCCACACACCCCAGGACAACACTATCCTCCCCACACACCCCAGGAGAACACTATCCTCCCCACACACCCCAGGACAACACTATCCTCCCCAGGTGTGGACAACATTATAAAAGTGGTACACCTGTCCACCAGGTAACCGGGCTGGTGGGTCGAGCAGACGTGTTGGCAACCCTCTTCTTCCTCGCCGCCATCCTCTCCTACCACAGGTAAGTCCATTGTGTAAGGACGAGTTTGTTCCTCCTTCGCCTCCGCCTCCTTCTCTTCCATTGCCTTCTCATCCTCCTCCTTACTCATAAGACCCTTAATCCACTGGCTTCCTACCTCCCTGCCTTCCTTTTCCTCCCTGCCTCTCTTTTTCACCTTATCTCCCTTTTTCCTAAATATCCGAGGGTGTTCCCCGTTTATCTAGGTTTTCTCCCCCCTCTTTATTAACGAGATCCTTCCTCCTTTACCTAAGAGAGTTTTCTTCACTATTTTCTTCTAACTGAAAGGGAATCTGATATCCTTCCCTTCATCCGGGGATCCTACACTCCTACACGTTATATTATAAATGAGAAAAGGATAAAAATATTGAAATCAAGAGAAAATTGAAGATATTTTACGTTACAAAATAATGATCTCAAGAACGAGGTGTAGGTGGGGGTGGGGTAGGTGTAGGAGAGTGTGTGGTGTATGTGAATGTGTGGGGGGTGGGGGGTGTTTACTGAATGTGTAGTGAGATGATGTGGTAGATGTTGAAGATGTAGAGAACGATAAGGGATGAGGTGATTAATGAGTGTTATGGTAAGTGAGCAAGGAGAGGGGAGAGGTGAGAGGGGAGAGGTGTGAGAGGGGAGGGGTGGAGAGGGGGAGAGGGAGAGGGGAGAGGAGAGGGGGAGAGGTGTGAGAGGGGGGAGAGGTGGGGAGAGGGGAGAGGTGAGAGGGGAGAGGTGTGGAGGGGGGAGGAGGTGTTGAGAGGGGGAGAGGTGTTGAGAGGGGAGAGGTGTGGAGAGGGGGAGAGGTGGAGGAGGGGGAGAGGTGTGGAGAGGGGAGAGGTGTTGAGAGGGGGAGAGGTGTTGAGAGGGGAGAGGTGTGGAGAGGGGAGAGGGGTGTTGTATGGGGAGAGGTGTGAGAGGGATTAAGTCATTAGCTGAGAAGTGAAGAGCTTATATTAGTGAGTATTACCATGAGAATGACGATTAATCTGTCTGTCTGTCTGTCTGTCTGTCTCCTCTTTTTTTAGGTCTGTCTGTCTCTCTCTCTTTTAAGCGTTTGTCTGTCTGTCTGTCTGTCTCTCTTTAGTCTGTCTGTCTGTCTCTCTTTAGGTTTGTCTGTCTCTCTTTAGGTCTGTCTGTCTCTCTTTAGGTCTGTCTGTCTCTCTTTAGGTCTGTCTGTCTCTCTCTCTTTAAGGTCTGTCTGTCTGTCTCTCTTTAGGTTTGTCTGTCTCTCTTTAGGTCTGTCTGTCTCTCTTTAGGTCTGTCTGTCTCTCTTTAGGTCTGTCTGTCTCTCTCTCTTTAAGGTCTGTCTGTCTGTCTCTCGTTAGGTCTGTCTGTCTGTCTCTCTTTAGGTTTGTCTGTCTGTCTCTCTTTAGGTTTGTCTGTCTGTCTGTCTGTCTCTCTTTAGGTCTGTCTGTCTGTCTCTCAGCACATATACCTCTCAGCTTCACCTCAGCCCCACACCATCACAGCCTCTGGCCCCCATACACTCAATCTATGGTTTAAATAACACACACTATTTCAAACTCAATTTACTTCCCCCTTGACGTTTGAGCTTGTTTAACACTGACCTACCCGCGTGTCTCTGCTTCCCACTCCTCACCCCACTCATCTTCATCATTGCACTCCTCCTCCTCTTCACCCCACTCATCTTCCTCTTCACCCCCTCCTCCTCACCTCTCTTCCTTCTCCTCACCCCACTCCCCCTCCTCACTCTTCCTTCTCCTCCTCATCCCCCTACCCCACTCCTCACCCCCCCTTCCTCTTCACCCCTCCATCTCCCCACCACTCCCTCCTTCCTCCCACCTCCCCTCTCCTCACTCTTCCTTCTCCTCCTCCTCTCTCCTCCTCTTCTCCTCTCCTCTCTCACTCCCCTACCCCTCTCCTCCTCACCCTCCTCCCACTCCCTTCTCCTCTTCTCACCTCCCTACCCCACCCACCCCCACTCCCCCTCTTCACCCCCCTCCTCCTCACCTACTCTAACCCTTATCAACTTTTCTCACCAACTCCAATACATCTTCTCAACTCTCCCCCATAAGACGTTAAGCTGTGAGGAAGTTTTACCAACAATACTAATATAATCAACAGCACAGTATAGACTCTCTCTCTCTCTCTCTCTCTCTGGTGGTGCTATAAGTCTACGCCAGTCACACATTACACTATTTATCACCCTTTGTGTCACGGTGTCTGAAATAACGATTGAAATATAGACATTGTTCCTTTGATATGTGTAGGTATGGTGTTCCTCTGAAATGATTAATATGGCTGAATTTTTTTTTTTTTGTGTACCATATTGATCTTAATGCAAGTTTTGGAGCTTTTGTTTGTAACCTGTTTATCAGTGCATTGAGGTCAAAGGTGAGAAATACTTGAGTTAACCCAGTGAGGATTTACCGTGAGATAGATAATAATGTAGTGTAGTAATGAACACCTGTAATGTTTATCCTTCTGGTGGTATAACGAGGTCTTCTGGGGGGTGGGGTGGGGAGAGGGGTGAGGGGGGATTGAGAGGGGTGAGAGTGGGGGGGGGGAGCACCTAATCCACCAGAGGACTTGTCGCAGCGTTCTCACATCTTTAATTAAGGAATCAAAATAAGGTAAAAATCAGTGAACACAAGGTCCCAAACAGCGATCCGACGCACCTTCCCGACAAGACCAATTGAATAGACTACGAGAGAGGAAGGTGACTCTCTGTTCTCCTGATGAGTAAAGTAGTGCATCAGTACCCCCTCGGCTCTCAGGTGTTAAGGAGGTACCCGGGAATTAACCAGGTATGCAGGTGTTAAGTGCTGTATATTTATTAACCAAGTGAAATATTGGAGGGAAAGAACGAGGAGGAAACAGGAGGTAGTATGATCACTGAGAGGAGAGGAAGAAATGAGGAAGAAACGAAAGGAGAGAGATAGGAGAGAGGAGGAGAGAGAGATAGGAGGGTGAATAGGGAGGAGAGAACGAGAGAGAGAGAGAGAGATGCAACATTTACATACAAGTCAACGTAATCAGAGCATCAGATGATCAAAGGTTCTCCTGAGTCGTGCCAGTAATTGCTTTACCCAAACTCTCCGCCCTCACCGTTCTGTTATCGCTCTACACTCGGCTCTATCTCATCGCTCTATTATCTCACTTTTCTCTCTATTATCTTAATTTTGCCTCTACTATCTCACTTTTGGCTCTACACTCACTTTTTTCCTCTGCTATCTCCCTTTTTGCTCATTATCTCATTTTTGGCTTTAATATCTCACGCTTGGCATTATAGCTTGGCATGATGATGATGATGATGATGATGATGATGATGATGATGATGATGATGATGATGATGATGATGATGACGACGATGATGATGATGATGATGATGATGATGATGACGACGATGATGATGATGATGATGATGACGATGATGATGATGATGATGATGATGATGATGATGATGATGATGAGGATTGTGACATTGTTCTTACACGACGAGACACCTAAACTATCTCCCTAATATAACATAATAATTAAGGTTGCGTTATTAACTTAGAGACTATAAACTTTCATTATCCTTGATGAGTTTTAAATTACACACACACACACACACACACACACACACACACACACACACACACACACACACACACACACACTTATAAGCAGCTGCCGTAGTAAAGTGTCACAAGTGTATCGTAATTACTTTATATCTTACTTTATCCTGGTTAGGTTAGGTTAGGTTAGGTGGTGCTACGAATTCTATACAGTTTCTTTATCTATAGTGTAATCTCCCTCAAAGTCTTGCTCACTCTTCTATTGTAGGGAGGAGAAGAACTGAGGGTGGTAGGGAGAGGTAGGAAGGGAGGGAAGAGTGAGGGGTAGAGGTAGGGAGAGAAGAAGGAAGTAAGGGAGGGAAGAAGGAAGTAAGGGAGGGAGGGAGGAAGGAAGTAAGGGAGGGAGGAAGGAAGTAAGGGAGGGAGGAGTATCGTGAATTGTGTTCGTGTCTGGCAATAATTTATGAGTCTACTGTATACATATGCTCTCTCTCTCTCTCTCTCTCTCTCTCATGGTTTCTTGTAATAAATGCTTTTGTTCAGGTCGATAAGGAGACGTACTCCAATTCGGATCAAAGTCAGGTGTCCGAATCCTTGAATGAATCCCCAATCAGAATCTTAATCCAGTTCCAAATCCCCGAAAAAATATGATTCCTAAGTCAAGTCTGAATCCTTGCAATAGTCCCCGCAATCAGACTTTTAATCCTAATTCGCATCCTAGAATTAATCCCGAAACAAAATCCTAATGCGAATCCCACAAGATATAATGCGTTCCTTATCTCCTTCCCTCCCTTCCTTCTCCCTTATTCACGTACACCTCATTTACTTCTCCTCCCCCATCCTCCCCCTTACCTGAGGACCCCCCTGCCTGTGGGTTTCCAATAGTAAACACAGGTTATGAGGGAACAACTGACCTGAACCATCGATTGTCTTCTCCGTCGTGCTGTCCCGTCGCCGCCACCACACCATCGGCCCACACACGGCAAACAACGTATCTGAACTGAACAAGACTCTAGCTATCTCCTCTAAAGTCTATCAATTGAAGGACCTGGTTAAGTTAGGATACTATTGTCTGTTGTTGTAAGTAACCAAAACTCTACACCTGTTGTCGTAAGTAACCAAAACTCTACACCTGTTGTCGTAAGTAACCCAAACTCTACACCTGTTGTCGTAAGTAACCAAAACTCTACACCTGTTGTCGTAAGTAACCCAAACTCTACACCTGTTGTCGTAAGTAACCCAAACTCTACACCTGTTGACTTAACTAATTAATTAACCAACTTTTCACGTCTGTTGTGTTACTTAATAAATTAATTAAATTCCACACCTTGTAACTAACACTTCTGTTGCTGTACCTAGTTTACTAATACTCCACTTATGCTGTTCTAACTAACTAGCTAATAGTACACATATGTTGCTGAGAGAGAGAGAGAGAGAGAGAGAGAGAGAGAGAGAGAGAGAGAGAGAGAGAGAGAGAGAGATAATAATTACTGGTATCTTTTCTCACCAGAGCGATAGAGGCCGACTCTGAAGACACAACCGCCTCAGAAGAAAGCGATGGGGGGGCAGAGAACAGGTGGAGGCTGGTGGGGAAGGAAAAGAGGAGCACTTGTACGGTAGAAGGAGAGAGGAGGAGGAGGAGGAGGAGGAGGAGGAGGAGGCAGGCCGGTGGCCTGCTGGGGACAACATCAGAAGAGGAATTCCTGGAACAACGTTAGACGGGATGCGAGGAGGAGGAGGAGGAGGAGGAGGAGGAGGAGGAGAAAATGGAGGAGAAGGAACAACAGGAGGAGGAGGAGGAGCAACAACAGGAGGAAGAGGAGGAGGAGGAGGTGGAGGAGGAGGAGTAGCAGGTGGAGTAACAACAGGAGGAGGAGGGGGAAGAAAAGGAGGATGGGCGTGGCTTCGACGTGCAGGAGTGCTGGCAGGGGCGGGGACACTGTGTAAGGAACACGCCCTCACCTCCCTCCTGGTGTGTGCCGCCTGGGATGTTATACTGCACAGGAAACACGTAAGAAGGTGAGTACTCTGTCTCTATGTCTCTCTCTCTCTCTCTCTGCTTGTCTGTCTTTTTGTATCTCTGTCACTCTCATTCTGTTTCTCTTTGTCACTTATTCTCTCTCTCTGTTGCTCACTATCTCTCAATATCTTGTTCTCTCCCATTCTCTGTTTTTTCCTGTTTATTTCTTTACATTGTTCTCATTCTTTCTTTCTCTACCTCATTCATGTCCTCCCATTGTTTCACTTTCTCACACTTTTTTTTTATTTGCCTTTCGTCTCCTCTTTCTTTCCTCACTCAGTATCTCACTTCATATACTGTATTTATATCTGGTGGAAATAAACAAACAACTTTCTATCAACACAAAAATCATCCTTTATTAACTACGAGACTCAGTCCACCAAGTAAAATAATTCCCACTTTTAATTTTTTTTCCTCAGGTGAGAATTAAAATTTATTATTATTTATTTATTTATCATTACTACCGCCCCCCCCCCGTACAGGAGAATGATGAAACACGTACTCTTCCATTCTAGACTACTCTGCAGGCGGCCTCGGAGCAGACCCTTGGGTGCCCTACTCAAGAGGCTGTTCTGGCTGAGTGTTATGGTAAGTGAAGACCTTCTTGCCTCTTAAAGCCAGGGCCACCTCTTTTATCTCTCCCCACACACACAAAAAGATGGTTTTATCCTTCACTAGTTCAGGAGCTCTGTATAACCCACCCCCACCCACCCACCCACCCACTCAACCACCCACCACCAGAAGGTTGCGTTTTTCTGTATGGATTCATTTCTCTGGTTTGTGTGTAGGAGGAGGGCGGAGAGTGAGGAGAGAGAGGCAGGGAAGAGAATAGGCTATCCAGGAGAGAAGGCTGAGAGGGACGTAAGTGCAAATGGATTGAGTGGGGGGGAGGAGGGAAATGGAAACACAGGAGAGAGACAGAGAGAGAGAGATTGTGGTCGAGTAAGAGAGATGCCAAGAAAATGTGGAGTAAAACTTAAAAACAAAAGGAAAAGACGAGAAAACGGGTATGATAGAGTAAGAGAACAACAGAGGAAGAATGAAGGTGAGAAATGGGTGAAGAGAGAGAGAGATAAGGGTGATGGAGGAAAGAATGAAGGAAAGAATTGGGTAATGAAGGAACATAGAGGAAGAGGATAATAGAGGGAAGAAAGTTGAGTGTAAACAGGTGTGTGTCATGAAGGCTGATGGTTGCAGCTTCGGTGACGCGTCTGGCCTGCCTAGCCTAATAGAATTACCTCCTCGGGAGTGATGAGTCGCGGGAGAGAGGTGAAGGAGTAGGGAGAGGAGGGGATGGAGTAGGGAGGGAGGGAGGGAGTAGAGAGGGAAGGGAGGGAGTAGGGAGGGAGGGGGATGGGAGTGGGGAGAGGGGAGAGGTAAGGAGGGATAGGAGAGACTAGACGGAGGAAAGAGAGTCAAGGAAGAGAGAGAGAGACAAGGAATTCAAGGAAGACCAACAGACCGCGTCTCGTAGCAGCAACAATCCCTGACGAGCCTTAAATCTAAATGAACCTCTCAAGGGGAGCGTTGTCCTGGTTCTGTCATACAAGAGTATCTACCATAAGGGTTGTTAAATTCACCCTCCACCGATCCCTCGTATAGAAACCATTCGGGACGGAACTTGAAGCTGTGTTTGATGATTCCTTTCGAAGCAATGAATCATGATCAAGGTAATAGAGTCTCCCTTTAAAGGTTGTTTTGATCAGATTCTCTAAGGATCGTATGTTATTTTCTCGTTGTGTGTATACAGTGTGAGGGGAAGAATCTTGGTCGAGTCTTAGGTAATTTCGACGCCATTACTACACCAGTCATTGTCGTTTTTGTTTTTTTTAAGAATTTTGATGTGGAGTTGATAAGTGTCAAGCCCTTCAATATCTGGACACAAATAAAGCGTGTGTGACTACTGACTCCCCCTCCCCCTCCCCTTTCTCTGCCCTGCTCCTCCCTTCTCTACCCCCCTCCCCTTCTCTACTCCCCCTCCCCTCTACCCTCCTTCTCACCCTCCCTCTCGTCTCCTTCTACCCCCTCCCTTCCCCACTCCCCCTTCTCTACCCCCCTCCCCTCTCTACCCTCACCATAAAAGTGTCTCCTCTCTTCACTGTTTACCTTCTAGACGGCCTGACAAACTTTTTAATATGACAACCGAGAACAATTTAAATTTCTCATAAAACTTCAGGAACTGTCATTAAAATTTTGCAGGAAATTTATAGAACTCTTTGTCATCTCACGTCCTCCTACTTTGTCCGCATGAATGTCAGTCAGCGCTCTGAGTTGACAACCGACTTGGATATTAATGTTAAAGATGGTGTTGCCGGGGTCAGTCCTCTAATACAGTCTGGTGTACACTGCCATGCTAACTTTTCAAACAATAGGAAGAAACTGTGTGTGTGTGTGTGTGTGAACAATGAAGTTGAATTGTATACATAACATCTAGCCACTGACGTCACCACACAGGGGGCGGTGATCCTGGTCCTCCGGCTATGGATGCTCCGAGGGACATCACCTGTCTTCAGCGATCAGGACAACCCGGCGTCCTTCGCTCCTTCCCGCTTAACAAGGTAGGACCCAACCACATCCTTTATCTCATCAGTAACGAGGTAGGCCACCCACAGCAGGACACCCACAGCAGGACACCCACAGCAGGACACCCACAGCAGGACACCCACAGCATCCTTCACCTTAACTCTACCCCCTGCACCGCCTCCTTCAGTGTGTTTACTCCCTAATGTTTATACTCCCCGTTAGGTGAGCATCCTCCATCCTTTAAAACTCATTACAATAGGATCACCATTATTTTGGCTCTTGCTAAATTGCATCACAGCTAAGTACCTTTCATTAATCACGCTTAATAAGATAGAATTAACTACCATTTCTCTTACGTAAATTGGATATTCTCACAACTTTTACTTCTTTTATTCTTAGTAAGTAAACCTATAACCCTTCCTCCTACAACAACAGGTTATTGCGTATTACTCCCCCTCCCTTACTCTGAGGTCAACCTGCCAGTAATAATCTTTATCAATATTTCTCACCGTAAGGGACGAAGGTATAGATAATAAACTCTCAATATTTCTCATTAACAAAAAAAAAACAAAAGTAAAAATAGCTTTCAGGGGCGTAAATAAATACCTAACGAAAATAAAATACAAAATACCTTTATATCACACGGACGGAAATACGAGTCTACAATGGTCATGTAGTTGAGAAATAGAATATCAACAAGGACACATTTATCTCCATGGTAAAGAATAAGAGCTGTCTCACCGGCTATTATCCACGGTAAACACGAGTCAAGATAGTAAGGGCTAGCAAGATCAGTCTACACGAGGCAATAACAGTCAGTGTCAATATTTCGGTAATGGCTGCTGCTGCCTGTTGCGTAATACATCAGGTTCATTATCATAACATTACCGGAATGTTTTATTGTTTTAATAATAACCAGAGTGAAGTGTTACATAACTATACCTTAAAGATGATGTAACAGGTGTGTGTGTTAGTGATTGTACACACACACACACACACACACACACACACATACCTCTCAACGTAAACAAATGGTATACGAATTACTGCACACTATAAATACGGGTCAGGAACACTTACATATTCATGGAGTTTTATCTGAAAATCCTCCTTTTTTTATGTGTATACGTGAGGCAAAAATACCCATTACATTGAGAGAAAATAGAAAACGATATATTCCTGACAAAGCATTAGTCGGTATTTTCCTGCTGGAGAATTAATGCGCATATTCACGAGAAAGAATTAAGTGGTATTTCCCAGCCAACGATATTTCAAGGGAAGGGATTGACCAAATATTACGGCCCACAACAATCCATCACCATTTTTCGTCTGGTATCGATAATTACTAAATAATGAAGCGGGAGTCGGTCGTTAACATGAAATAAATGAAAATGGCGGAGATAAATGCTTACAACGAAGCCATTTCTTTAAGATACAAGAATGCTCGCCAACCCACCCTTCTTCCCCAATGGCCAATATTTTCCAGAGGACGACAAATGGAACATTATCCATTCGTCGTGTACGTCCTGGGGTGAATATAAAAACATTACGATTGTCGAACGCGCAAGATTTAAGACCTTTCCCAAGTCGGCTTTATCAGCGTGAGCCACGTGCGTCCCTCACACACACACAAATAAACAAATACATACACACAAACATACACACAAACATACAAACAAATACACACACACACACACACACCTAACCTAACTCCTCCAGGTAGCGTTAGGGTGTTCATTCTTCATGTGATTCTCCTACGTTCTGTCAAGGTGAAGAGTTATCCCATGGTTCCTCAGGAAGAGTTTTCTCTCATCTCTCACCATCTCTCCCGGTACAGTGTTCCCTCACCACCTCTCCCGGTACAGTGTTCCCTCACCACCTCTCCCGGTACAGTGTTCCCTCACCACCTCTCCCGGTACAGTGTGTCCTCACCACCTCTCCCGGTACAGTGTTCCCTCACCACCTCTCCCGGTACAGTGTTCCCTCACCATCTCTCCCGGTACAGTGTTCCCTCACCACCTCTCCCGGTACAGTGTTCCTCACCACCTCCCGGCACAGTGTTCCTCACCACCCTCTCCCGGCACAGCAAGGTTCTCTCACCACCTCCCTCCTGGTACAGTGTGTCCACCACCTCTCCCGGTATACAGTGTTCCTCATTCATCTCTCCTGGCACAGTGTTCCTCACCATCCTCCCTGGCACAGCAACCTCACCATACCTCCCTGGCACAGTGTGTCCTCACCACCCTCCCGGTACAGTGTTCCCTGACCACCCTCTCCTGGCACAGTGTTCCCCTCACCACCTCCCGGCACAGTGTTCCTCACCATCTCTCCTCCTGGCATAGTGTTCCTCACCACACCCTCCCCACAGTGTGTCCTCACCCACCCTCTCCTGGCAGTGTTCCTCACCACCTCTCCTGGTACAGTGTTCCCCTCACCACCCTCTCCTGGTACAGTGTTCCTCACTCACCTCTCCCGGCATATGTGTCCTCACCACCTCTCCTGGTACAGTGTTCCTCACCACCTCCTGCACAGTGTGTCCTCACCACCTTCCTCCTGGTATAGTGTTCCTCACCACCTCTCCCAGTGTTCCTGCCACCTCTCCCGGTACAGTGTTCCCTCACCACCTCTCCCGGTACAGTGTGTCCTCACCACCTCTCCCGGTACAGTGTTCCCTCACCACCTCTCCCGGTACAGTGTGTCCTCAAGGCAGTATTCGCTGGAGTGCGTCATAACATAGCTCAGTGTTTTCCTCCTGCCGCAGGTAACTAACACTCAGGTACCTGCGGGTTTTTTCCTCTCAGCTCGTGGCTTTTGCTGAGCCGCTGATATAAATTCCGTGCTCACCATCTGCCGCAGGATGTTGACCGTCTGACTGCCGCAGTATGTTGACTCTGACTGCCGCAGTATGTTGACCGTCTGACTGCTGCAAGATGTTGACTCTGACTGCTGCAAGATGTTGACTCTCTGACTGCCGCAGTATGTTGACTCTGACTGCCGCAGTATGTTGACTCTGACTGCTGCAAGATGTTGACTCTGACCGCCGCAGTATGTTGACTCTCTGACTGCCGCAGTATGTTGACTCTGACTGCTGCAAGATGTTGACTCTGGACCGCCGCAGCATAAGCGATTCCTGATCGCCGCAGTACGCTGACCGTCCGACCGCTGCAAGATGCGGACTTCGACTGCTGCAAGATGTTGACTTCCTCTGACTGCCGCAGTATGTTGACTGACTGCCGCAGTATGTTGACTCTGACTGCTGCAAGATGTTGACTCTGGACCGCCGCAGACAAGTTGACTCCTGACTGTTGCAAGATGTTGACTCCTGACCGCCGCAGCATGTTGACTCCGATCCGCCGTGTTGACTCCTGACTGCCGCAAGATGTTGACTTCCTCTGACTGCCGTAGTATAAGTTGACACTGACTGCCGCAGTATGTTGATACTGACTGCTGCAGCATGTTGGACACCTGACCGCCGCAGTATGTTGACTCTGGACTGCCGCAGAAGCGTTGACTTTGATTCGCAAGAAGTTGACTCTTGACCGCCGCAGCATGTTGATACCTTCGACCGTCACAGCATGTTGACTGACTGCTGCGTAGTTGACCTGACCGCATATGCTGACACTGATCAGCGTAAGATGTTGACTCTGACTGCCGCAGCATGTTGACTCTGACTGCTGCAAGAAGTTGACTCTGACCGCCGCAGTATGTTGACTCTGACTGCTGCAAGATGTTGACTCTGACTGCTGCAAGATGTTGACTCTGACCGCCGCAGTATGTTGACTCTGACTGCTGCAAGATGTTGACTCTGACTGCCGCAAGATGTTGACTCTCTGACTGCTGCAAGAAGTTGACTCTCTGACTGCTGCAAGAAGTTGACTCTCTGACTGCCGCAGGATGTTGACTCTCTGACTGCAGCTATGTCCGTAGAGTAAAATGCCATTTATTTTGCTCCCGCCACAGGGTGCTGACGTTTTAACTGTTGATGGCGCTAATTTGAGGTTTTAACCGCATTTTATATAATTTCCGCGCTCTATTTCTGTCACAGAGTGCTGACCTTCTGGTACTTGCCTGTATTCAACGCTTGGCTGCTGCTGTGCCCATGGACGTTAGCTCACGACTGGCAGATGGGCTCCATACCCCTCATAACCTCCTTCATAGACGCCAGAAATATCGCTTCGCTTTTGTTTTACGCCGCCCTCTTACTTATACTTAGGGCCGGATGCCTCATGAAGGTAAGATATTGTTTTTTTTATAGTTATCATTATAATTATCATCATTATCTTGGCTAAATTAATGAAAAATCTACGTCTTTCAACCTATATATTACAGTATATAAAAAGTAAACAGAATACCAGAGACTAAAAGTTATGGTATTTTATCTTTTGACTTCATCCACATTCACACTTAACTATCAAACATTTCCTGGAGGTATTGTTATCATTCATCGTTCTCTTATTCCTTACCATTCTTTAATTTACAATTCTCTTATTCTCAATCTTTTCTTACAGGTCACTCACTGTTCCCTCTCCCTCTCAAGGTTGACATGTAAATTGAGAATCACTCCTTGTCACGAGATAAGAACTTGCATGATTATTTCTACGAGGAACAACTTCATATTTCCTTTCATTATTACTGTGCTCTCTCTCTCTCTCTCTCTCTCTCTCTCTCTCTTTCTCTCTCTTCCTCTCTCCATCTCATCCTGCTCTATCTTCCCCCTTCCCATTACTTCTTATCACGTTTACTTCTCACATTCATTATCTTCTTTCTCTCTCTTTCTCTTTCGTTCTCATTCTCTCTCTCTGTCTAGGCTCTCTCGTCCCTTTCTCATCAAGTGTTATCACGGTTATAACTCCCCTCATTCATCTGTTCTCTCTCTCTCCCTATCTCTCTCTCTCTCTCTCTCTTCCTCTCTCCCTATCTCTCTCTCTCTCCCTATCTCTCTCCACCCCTTCCTATCACGTTTATTGCTCTCATTCTTTATCCTATCTAACCTCTCTCCCTCACCCCATCTGGTCTCACACCTGACCCTCATCTCGTCAGGGCCTCTGGTCAGAATACCTGCACAGGTAAATGGTTTCACTCACCTTACCTGATGGTATTATTAGACACCATCTGGGGTCGTTCTCTTCCCTCATTCTCTTTTAAACATTTATTCATTTTAATTATTTGGTGGTTTTTACTTATTATCCTTCACTGTTCTTCATTTTCCTTAGTTTATTTTTTTTCTTTTGTTTTTTCATCCGTAATTAGTATGGTATAATGTATATAATTATTCAGTATGTAAAAAAAAAATCATGTATTGTATAACTAAGGGCCAAGTGCATTACCGAATGACCTACAATACTGACAGGTAAATTACTGAACACATTAAGGTAACCAAAAGTAAAGTCTATGTGAAGACCAACACACACACACACACAGGTCACGCCTCCCCTGATCTCATTATAAAAATCTGACCCTTCCCTTGAATCAAATTTCTGCCAGAACCTTTATACACAAGAACTTCTCTCCTGTTCCTCCCTCACCTTCACTACCTGCCTCTTCTCCTCTTCCTGCAGCCACTTGTCATACCTTCTCACATGCAAACATACATACATACATACATACATGCATACATATATACATACATACATACATTCTAATCATTCAAAGAATCATAAGTGGTGTTAACTACAACCTCCCTTGGCTTGTTAACAACCCCTGGCCACACACACACACACACACACACACACACACACACACACACACACACACACACACACACACACACACACACACACACACACACCCCTCTCTTCATTATCTTTTCTTTCTGTCTCATTCCAACTATGTCCCAATCCTCCATGTCCCACCCCCACCCCCATGTCCCAATCTCCATGTCCCACCCCACCCCCATGTCCCCACCCTCCAGTCCCACCTCACCCCCATGTCCCACCTCCATGTCCCACCCCTCACCCCATGTCCTCAATCTCCATGGTCCACCCCCACCCCCATGTCCCCCACCCTCCATGTCCTTACCCCACCCCCATGTCTCACCCTCACCCGTCTCCTCCGCCAGGGTCAGGAGGGTAGGGCTGTACTGCTGGGGGTGTCGCTGCTGGTGCTGCCCTTCCTACCCGCCACCAACTTCCTCTTCACCGTCGGGTTTGTCGTCGCCGAGAGAATCCTCTACATCCCCAGGTAGGTGTTTGTGTGTCCCTAGGTAGGAGTCTCAGGTGCGCTATATTACCCAGGTACATGGTCTCTCTCTCTCTCTCTCTCTCTCTCTCTCTCTCTCTCTCTCTCTCTCTCTCTCTCTCTCTCACTTTGTCTCTGCCTCTTTTTCTCACTGTCTGTGTCTCTCTCATTTTGCCATTCTCTGTATGTTCATCTTTTTCTCTCGCTTTGCCTTTGACCCTCTCTCTCCTCTCCTCTTTTCTGTCTTTCTGTCTGGCTGTCTGTCTGTCTGTCTGTCTGGTCTTGTTTTATACTTTCTCCAGTTGAGGATTGGAGGCGTTCTATACTCTCTCGCTCTCTCTCGCTCTGACCAGGTAGGTGATCCTCGCTCCTCCATAAATCTCAAGGAACAGTTTCAGAGTCTTCAATTACTTTCTCCCAAGGTGTGTGTGTGTGTGGGGGGCTTCAGTAGCGAAGATTAAAGGGCAACAACACGGAAACAAGAAGGAGAAGTGGCGGTAACAGGATCCCCAGACGACCTTCATTTTGCGAGCAGAAAATAGCAAAACCAACATCGGTAACGGAGAGCCTGTGAGATGACCTGCCTATACGGGACACAGCAGCAGATGAAGCAATAACAGCAGATGGAGTAACAGCGTGAACAGCAGCAGCAGGTGGAGTAACAGCAGGAGAAGCAGCACCGGCAGAAGGGTCCGTCAGATGATCTCACTATGAGGGCAGGAGGACGGACAGCGATGAGAGACGACAGCTGTTGGTAATATCCACTCCACGCCCCCTCCCACCACTGGCCTGGCTGTGTCCTCCACCACAGTGTTCCGCCTCACCAGATAAATGCCATGCAAACTTTACTTGTGTCCTTGTTGCAACACTGTTTTATAAAAGAAAATAGAATAAACTGGTATGTACGGTTTATAAACTTGGCTGCCAGGGACAAGATGAAGGAGCAACATACAGTAATACGCGGCATAATGAAACAGTTTCTTAATGAATTCCAAACTTGTATCGCGTCATGTTTGGGTTAAGTTACTGTACGGTGAGTGAACGCCAATTATCTTTATCATGAAGGATTTATTGCCCTTCATCAGTCTCATAACCACATCAGAGGTGAACCTAATATAGACTAGAATCCACACGTGTACACCTTCCCATAACACGAGGAGGTGAAGTAAATCTGTTGTCCCATAACCTGATACTGTACACACCTGAGTGACCTTCTCTGGTGACTAGCCAAATGGTTATATTGTGACGACAGAACAAATGACAACAGTGTGGAGATGATAATGTATGAGACCTATAAGTATGACACCTAGCGAGAGAAGGAAAACACTTGACACTAACGATACACAACGCTTAAAGGTCAAATTACCTCAAGAGAGTAGTTTACCCCTTGTTTGTGGATCATTGACTTACATATTACCGCACACACTTGGTATAAGGTCAAGTTCTTCACTCACTCACTCACTTACTTACGGAGAAGACCTTAAATTTACACTGACAGCACTAAGTAAGTAACTCGTGTTTATTTAAGTTTTGAAAAATGAACCGATTGAGGTCATGTGTGCGTCACTTATTATTAATCAGAACCTCGCGCCTGAGGCTAAGTACACCGCCTCTTGTGACCTTACAATATCCTGGAGCTTTAAAGGTTATACACCACCTGACCTTTCACGACCTTTTCCAGATGCAGGAGCCAGGCGAGCCACGTTCACCTCACTTTAGGTGCAACCACTTGAGCCAATAGCTGACGGCAGTGGTGCACGAGTAGGGCTATAGAGGTGCGGCAGCGATCGAGCGTAGTGTGTGTGTGGGAGACATGCAAGAGAGAGAGAGAGAGAGAGAGAGAGAGAGAGAGAGAGAGAGAGAGAGAGAGAGAGAGAGAGAGGTGAACGAGTAATATACGCTAATGTTTACGCCTTCCGGATGTTTAGGTAATGTTCAAGACCCCGGATATTGTGACCCCATGGACATCAAGACCCCGGATATTGTGACCCCCTGAATGCCAAGACCCTGGATATCGTGATCCCTTGATGTTAAAGCCCCGTGAAATTTTGGACAACAGATATATAGGCCTAACCTCGTAAATTTAGGCCTGGGAGATTTAGACCCGAAATGTTGTAGTCTTGACAGGTTAGGTCAGGGGAAGTGAGGTTAGAAAAAGTCCCCGGCCAGGCCCAAATAGTCCCCGGCCAGGCCCAAATAGTCCCCGGCCAGGCCCAAATAGTCCTCGGCCAGGCCCTAATAGATTAAAACACCCGAGGCCCAAACTATCAGGCCGAAACGTTTCTATTCGAGTGTAAACTGTGTACTAGTCGACAAAAAAAAAATATATTACAACAGTTTGAAAAGAATCCCATCTAGAAACGATGAATGTTATACCTAGTTTAATCCCAGAACTGCCACCTGTCTGTTGCCCCCAATATATTTCACACAATACCCGTTGTGTACTTGTATTTTCCTTTTATTTATCGTTAAATTGGTTTTCTTTCGTAACAAACATTTTTTTTTTATCTAATTATGTATTTTATTGGTTAAAGAGGCTGTAATTACTGTCATGGGAAGCTTCAGTGAGACGAGCAAGATGCTGCTAAATAGTTACAAATAAAATATTTTTTTCTATTGTTTCTTATAAGATATTTTGTTTGTCGTCATCAGTCGTTTAAAAACACTAAATCAGTATTACCTCAGTATTACTCAACTCAGATTAAACTGATCCCTGACCTTCACTTAACAGACCTTTCCTTACTAACTACCCTAACTCTTCCCCTCACACTAACAACCCTCGTCTCAACTTCATGTAAACTACTTCTCTGCCTCACACAGATGGACCAAAAGTTTTCCCTTCTTCTAAATCTAAGTAACTTTACCACTTTTTTCCCCCCGACAATCAGACTTCTTCCGCTGACTCTTGCCACCACCCACACTAATTAGACTGTCCTTGAGTGTCCCCGCCCTCCCACCCTTACCGCCCTAGGTCACGTGATGCTGGGGGCGGTGGGGGGCGGTGGGGGGCGGTGGGGAGTGGTGGGGGGTGATGGGGAGCGGTGGGGGGCGGCAGGACGGGTGTAGATACTGTATATTTGTCTCATTAACTGATCTATACCCCAGTGTTGGCAGTTTAGGTCATGTGAGGCTGTTGGATATGGTCGGTAACTCTCCCTCCTCCACACTAACTAACACATGTCCTCCTTCCCGTGTCCTCGCAGCTTGGGCTACGCGGTGCTGGTGGGCGTGGCACTATCGAGGGTGGGGAGGCTGAGGGCGCCCTGTCTCCTACTGCTGCTGGTGGTGTTCTCCTGCAGGACGCTACAGAGGAACCACGACTGGGAATCCAGGGAGACACTTTTCCTGTGAGTCTTATTGGTGATTGGTGGCGACTGATTGGTGGTGATTAGTGATGGTGATATATTTAACGATTGGTGATGAATGATGGTGAATGAGTGAGGACTGAAGGTTGCTGGTGATGTTACACCTGTCTCTCACACACCTGTCTCACACACCTATCTCTCACACACCTGTCGTATCTCCCCAGGGCGGGACTGAGGACGCTGCCACACAACGCCAAGATGCACTACAACTTCGCCAACCTGCAGAAGGATCTTGGCAACGCTGACCTCGCCAAGTTCCACTACGTGTATGCCATCAGGTGAGTGTTTACCTATCGCTTGTTCGTCTCTACCTGTGATACGGGAAAGGAGCTTAGTTTTAGACCCCCCCCCCCAACTGTCCGTCTGTCCGTTTGTAGGTAAAGAGCGCCAGTATACTGTATGTTAACCTTATGAGGACGATTTAAACTCTTTGAAGATAAATTTAAATCTTTTACTAACGATGGTTTAAGCCCTTTTGGAGGACACTATAACCCTTAGGTATTTTATCTTGGCTAACACTAGTAGTCAGCTGAGAGAAACCTTTGCCCTCTCCTACAGCGGCGGGTCTATCTGTACTGGACACAGACGTCAGGTGTTGTGGCACAGAGAGTTCACCAGGTTTAAAGCGACCATATGACCTTAGATTGTCAGTCGTGTGAACTCTATGGTGTATTATAGAGAACGTGTAGAGAACGTGTACTGCTGCCTAGTACTCCACGATCAAGGTGAAAGATTAAGAAGTAAATAGAAAAAAATTAATATATATGATTAGTAATTTTAAACAGTGAGGAGACATAGGACACGATGCATGGAGAGAGAGAGAGAGAGAGAGAGAGAGAGAGAGAGAGAGAGAGAGAGAGAGAGACGCACGTTACCTGTAAACACCTTCACAAGAGCAACACAATTTTTATGATAGCGAAGTATAATACCTTTGTCGGACAGGTGACGCACGCGCACTAATAATTAACGGCGCGGTAGAATGGTTAATAATTATACTGATTATGATTAAAGGAAGTTATTATTTACACACACACACACACACACACACACACACACACACACACACACACACACACACACACACACACACACACACACACACACACACACACACACACACACACACACACACACACAAGGTCCATAAATAACCGGAAGCTCATCAATGTTGCAATACTAATCCTGGCACTATATGTTGCAACACGTGTTAGGCTGCAACAGTCAGTTATGTCAACCTTACGCACCATTTTATGACCTGGATTGAGTGTCAACATAAGGCAGTACAGTACGGCATTATCTACCCTCCATTACTAGGTGAAATGAACAAAGGCTGGTGATCAAATTTTTCGTAGAGTGACTCAATAATGACAACAAACTCACACAACGAGACACACAAACAACGAATAAATCCAGTTATGTTGTGTGTGTGTGTGTGTGTGTGTGTGTGTGTGTGTGTGTGTGTGTGTGTGTGTGTCTAAGTCTCTCCAAACAATTAAAAATTTTCACCAAACTTAATAAATTCACGACAAAAGGCTTAAAAAAAACGTGTAAAATAATAAATAAAATCAGTAATTACCTCTCTTACCGGCCAGTGTTTGGAGTCGGGAAGTGGACTGCTGCAATATATCCAACAGAAAAACCCGGACTACTGAACTAAACCTGGCCAATGTATATGTTGCATGTCGTATATGTATAGCTAAAATGTATATAGCTTTGTTTATTAACCTCCTTGTTTATTGACAGTGTGTTGTTCCTTCATTCAATATCGTGTTCCTTCATTCAATATCGTGTTCCTTCATCTAAGATGTGCCCTTCACCAATACATATTCTTTTGTTCATTCCTTCATTCACTCCCTGCTTTCACTCCCACAGTTCACACATTCACTCCCTGCTTTCACTCCCACAGTTCACACATTCACTCCCTGCTTTCACTCCCACAGTTCACACATTCACTCCCTGCTATCATTTGTGACCGTATCAGAGGGAGGTGATCACTTTCCAATGACCCAATCACCTTCTCGTATTACTCCCCCCAAGAAACCAATCAAATTGTAAATGAGTTTTCGTCGACCAATCACGTGTAACCTGAGAGTTTTGACCCACCTATCAGAATCAATAAAGGACTGAGGGATCCTGGAGGAGGGTATCTGTCCCTATGAGGAGTTGTGGTGATGTATCTTTCGGGAATAATAATAACAATAATAATAATAATAATAATAATAATAATAATAATAATAATAATAATAATAATAATAATAATACCACCAACTACAACAACAACCCGAGTCAGGGCAGGAGCCAGTGTCGCCAGGGAAACAAATGAGTCATAACTTAGCCAGTGTGTGGATGGAAAATACTGATTATAAGGTCCTTTTCAGTCACGTTACCAACCCACGTAGAAGAATATGGAGAAGGGTGGATAATAAAAGCCTTATTCTTTCATCTCTCCTTTCTTCTCTCTCCTTTCCTCCTTCTCTCTCTCGTTTCCTTTTCCCCTGTTTCCTCAATGACTCTTCTCCATTTCCTTCTCTTTTTTTTATCTATGTTCCTCTTATCTTATATTCTCTTGCCCTTTTCGCCTTTCATCATTCCTTGTCTTTCCTCTTTCGCCTTCCCCATCTTTTATTCTCCTTCCTCTTCCTCCTCTTTCCTTGGTCTTTCTACTCTTCTTTTCACAATTTTCTTCGTCCTTCCTATCACTCCTCCTCCACCACTTTCCACTACCCTCACTCTTCTCTCCCCTCCTCCTCCTCCACCCCTCACCACCCCCCCCCCAAGGTTAAGCCCGCCTCGTGGCTCCGTTCCTGCCATCTCTCCAGGTTATGGCTCTCTGCATCAAGCTGCATACGAAGGCAGCCGACACAAGTCTTTGGAAGGAAACAACTTTTTACCAACACAATACAGAATCTGGAACTCACAAAGATTCAGAACCTTAATTGTGAACCCAAACTGGTGTTATGAGACCGGATCCAGTTAAGGTAGTGCCTCAGTATAATTTATGTGTTATTGTTATCCCTTAGCTGGAGTTGGCCATTAGGATCCATTTTTTAATTCTCCATTTACGAGGAAAATTCAGTGTGAGAGCCTTTTAAAAAACCCCGAGACGTAATATACATGCACAAATATGTTTAAGTTTTGTATTGAATATCTTTGCACAGTCATCCTCACAGCCGGATGACTCACGTAACAAGATTCATGTTTACAATACTCAATCCTGGTAAAAACTATCAGCAGAAAACGTGTGTATGTGTTCGTGCATATCAAACACCCGGTATATCCCCGAACGTCCTCATAATTCAGGATTAAATTATGGTGTTTAAGTATGTATTGTGCAGTGAAATTTAATGAGAGTAAAATGGCTGCCAAATCGCCAATTTTAATCGGCTGAGATACATTATCGACCATTACCAACCTCTCGGGGGCTCGATGTCTCTTCCAAGTTTCAAGAAAATATTTAAATCCCTTCAGGAGTTATTGTGTTAACACGCAGGCGGCCAGGGCGGCGTCTGACTCCACAATATCCTGCCGAGTCATTCCAGGATACAATTACAATAGCCATCTGTAACCATAAGGCGGGTCAAGGTGCCTGAGAATTTGGTGTAATAAAACGGAACCAAGTTGAAGCT